CCATTCCTTGGCTTGCGTCAGCATCACTCCCATCTCCGCCCTCATCTTCCCACGTTTGTCTTCCCCGGGTCTGTGTCTTGTTCTCTTCTTACAAGGACATTAGACACTGGATTTCAGGTCCACCTTAAATCCAGGAGAATTTCATCTCAAAATTCTAAGCTAACCTAATTGCATCTGCAAAGGTCTTATTTCCGAGGTTGCAGCGGGGACATGAATTTGGCAGAAAAACACAGTACTCAGTCCACAACAGGCAACAGCAGTGCCTGCTTCTGGAGGACAGGGAGACAGATAAAATGGAAAACATACATTCTAGGTGAGTGGTCAGGAGACCGCACATGGCAGGACTCAGGAAAAGCATCTAGAAATGGACACAACCACTCTGATTTACACTTCCCAAGCCCACCTGGTTTTTAAGAGCGGCATCTCCCTCCTGGAAACATGGCTGCCCTCCCTTCCCTTGGTGATTTGTTTTATTCTCTCCCCACTGCCATGCTAGTTTAGGTCACTATCATCATCACCAGCCTCATGTCCGCAGCTTGCTCAGTCACCTCCCAGGCTCTACTCAGCACCCTGCGCTTTTCCCCAGAGCAATCACAGTGGTCTTTCCCACATGCAGATATGCTCACATGGAGCTTCCAGTCCTTCGATTTTCCCAGAGTCTGCAGGACAGAGTTCATACTTCCTTGGTCTTTGGTCTGGCCCTGGCTCCCTCTCCAGCTCCACCTGAACAGGCTGCTGCTCCCATAACATGCTACATCCCCATGCAGTGTTGCTCCCATTGGATGGAATGCCCTTCCACATCCTCCCCCTCAGATGTGTTGCCTACTAAGTCATCCACTACTTCCCAGTCTCAGGTAAGGCACTGTCTCTTCTAGGAAGCTTTCTTGGTCTGAGCTTCTAAGTCTGAACTAATCGACTTATTGTTTATTCCCTGCCTACCTCTAGCAAAGCTCCCCACCTCTCTGCATGACAATTACTTGATTCCATGTCAATCTCCCTAGTCATAGGAAGAGTTTCTTACATTCAAGGATAGTGTCTTACTGAGTGATATGGTTCGGCCACGTCCCCACTCAAATCTCATCTTGAATTGTAGTTCCCATAATCCCCATGTATCATGGCAGAGACCAGGTGGAGATTATTGAATCATGGGGTCAGTTTCCCCTATCCTTTTTTCGAAATAGTGAGTTAGTTCTCACGAGATCTGATGGTTTTATAAGGGGCTTCCCTCTTCACTGGGCACTGATTCTTCTTCTCTCCCTGCTGCCATGTGAAGAAGGACATGTTTGCTTCCCCTTCTGCCATGATTGTAAGTTTCCTGAGGCCTCCCCGGCCATGCTGAGTTGTAAGTCAATTAAATCTGAATCCTGGCCAGGCACAGTGCCTCACACCTGTAATTCCAGCACTTTGGGAGGCTGAGGTGGGTGAATCACTTGAGGCCAGCAGTTCAAGAATAGCCTGGCCAACATGGTGAAAGCCCCTCTCTACCAAAAACACAAAAATTAGCCAGATATGGTGGCACACACCTGTAATCCAAGCTACTTGGGAGGCTGAAGCAGGAGAATAGCTTGAACCAGGGAGGTGGAGGATGCAGGGACCTAAGATCAGGCCACTGCACTCCAGCCTAGGTGATAGTGCAAGACTGTCTCAAAACACAAAAACAAAAAAAAATCCTCTTTCATTTAAAAATTACCCAGTCTCAGGTATGTCTTTATTAGCAGCCTGAGAACAGACTAATATACTGACCATTGTATCCCCAGAGCCAGGCCCACTGTAGAAAACCCAATGCAAACAGGAATTAATGAGTAAATCCTCATAGCTCTACCTACAATAATGTGAAAAATATGACACTGAAATTATACACACCTTTCAAAGAGGGAGCCACTACCCAATTTTCTTGCAGCTCTGGGCACAGCCAGAATAGTCCAAACCATATTATTCTAGGTCTGAACCATGACCCAAGTCAAGGCACTGTGGCCCTGGAGACAGACTGTCAGTTTCATGATCAATTTGTTCTCAAAAAGCTACTCCATTGAAATGTATACATAAAGGAGCTTGCTGCTTGGGAGGAGCATGACAAAGTGAGTCTGGAAAACATAGTTCTAACCAGGTGAGTGACCTTTGGAAAATCACTTAACCTTTTCGGACCTCAATAGCCTCGAATACTAAACAAGCGAGTTGATCTAGAAGACCAACTCATAAGAATCCCTCCCAGCGCATGAAAATCTCATACTGTGTCTTTGAAATTCAAATGACTACCCTCGAATTCATCCCTACCACCACCACTGCTGCCCAGCTAAATCTTGTAAAACATATACTCAGCTTCCTTGAAAGGGGATTCATTTGTCATGTGGCTCCTGGCCAGGAAGATCACAGCCTCTAGCCAGGCTTGCTCCTAAATCATCATCTTCAGAGCTTCACAGGGTACCATGGAGAGTTCCAATCTGGCCTCAGCTGAAGTGCTCCTGGAAAAATTAAATGCCATACATTCTCCAAATTCCACTGCAGGTCAGAAAGATCCTGGAGACCCTAGTCCTTTGGGGTTGAGGCTAAAATAACTCAGTGGAAATTTTTTTCAGCTACAACAAAAGATAACCCATATTTTTATCCCTGTTCTCTAAACCTGTGATACTTGGCAGAAATTCTTTCTAAAGTACGAGTCTAAGCTGAAGGGCAAGCATCTAAGAAACTTGGATGTGAACACATAACGGGGAGGGGATTTTGTGCCTGGAACACTAACACACATACACAGTGAATACTGTGCAGCCATAAAAAAGGATGAGTTCACGTCCTTTGCAGGGACATGGATAAAGGTGGCAACCATCATTCTCAGCAAACTGACACAAGAACAGAAAAACAAACACCGTGTGTTCTCACTCATAAGTGGGTGTTGAACAATGAGAACACATGGACACAGGGAGGGGAACATCACACACAGGGGCCTGTTGGGAAGTGGGGGGATAAGGGAGGGATAGCATTAGCAGAAATACCTAATGTAGATGGTGGGGTGATGGATGCAGCAAACCACCATGGCATGTGAATATCTATGTAACAAGCCTGCATGTTCTGTACATGTACCTCAGAACTTAAAGTATAACAATAATAATTATAATAATAATAAAAAGAACCAAAGATCCCAGAATTACCAGGGCTGTGGGAGGCCCAAACATTACAGCAGTGTGAAGAGAAACCACATTTACACAATGCTTCCTAGTTTTACAAGTGGTCTTATTATACATTATTCCGCTAATATAGTCAGACTTATATCTAACACGACATTCATTTTAGGAGGATAAATCATCTTGAATATTTTATTATCTGCCCATATTATTCAACCAATTTAAACACTATCAAATGGTGGTAATGGCCGAACGAATGTCTTTAGCTCTGGCATTTATCCTGAGCTACCATAATAGCACTTCCAAGCCGCCAGCTTGACATCTCCACTGGAATACTTTACTCAGATCTTACAAAATCTAAACCACTCAATTTCAATCTCACGCCCTACCCTGGACTCGTCATCTTCTGTCTCTCTCATCTCATTAAAGGGCACCACCATTCGCACAGTCACTCACACCAGAAACCTCAGAGACGGCCTTTCTGTGCCCTTCTCATTCCTCATGCCCAGTTCATCAGCAAGTCTCCCCCGTTCTACCTCCAAGATATGTGTCTTGGATTTGTTCATTCTCTCCAGTTCCACGCAATCCAAACTTCCCTCATTTCCCATGGGAAGTGCTTTAACAACTGAGCTATTTTTACTTTTGCTTCCCCGTGATCCGTTTTTTAGCCAGGTACCAAAATAATCTTTTAAAAAATACATAAATCATATCATGTCACTTCCCTGCTTACAGCCCTTCAAGGACTCCCCCATTACACATAAAATAAAGTCTATCCGCTTCGCTGTGGCTTCCAAAGCCCTGTGGATCCAGGCCCTGCCTACCATTCCAAGATTCCATCACATCTTGCAATGTCTCACACTCCATATCACATCTTCTCCTCCCAATGCACCAGGGCCCGGCTGCACAGGTCAAGCCCTATCCCACCTTGCTTGCTGTTCCCAAATCTGCCCAAGGCTGGTTTCTTCCCAATAGTCAAGTCTCTACTTAAATGTCATCTCCCCAGAAAAGCCTCCCAAAACAAAATCACTATGAGCCCCCATTATTCTTTACCACGTCATTCTGTTTCCTTCACAATATGCAGTATAATTAGCCACACGATTATTCAGTTATTACCTCCTTACCACCTCCCCATCCAAACAACTACTAGAACACTAGCATGAAGAGAGACCTTCCTCATCTCCCTTGGTGATCAGCTGATCACCTTCTACTCACCTCATGGGTGAGGGGGGAGTTTTGACCCTAACGAGTACAAGACGGCTCAGCACATGACACCCAATGCTGGATGGATGAGTCAGCAGCAGCTTATGAGTGACAAATACTCACAGCCCGGGGCAGAAGGGCATCCCTCACCATGCAGGGAGGAGGGGGTACGCTCTGAAGTAGAGTGACTCTTGCTTCCCTTAAGGTGTCATAGATTTTTTGTATACCTCCATAGGTCAGCAGAGAAGTGAAAACCATTTGCTCTAGAACCAAGTAGGGGGCTGCAACCAGGCCAGCTAGTAGGAGAAATTGCTGGGTGGGGAGCCTTTCCTGCAGAATGAGGGGCATATCTGGTGAGATCAGGATAACTCAGTTGGACTGCTGGGCCCTGTGAGGCTCAAAGATGCCAAGACGGCACTTAAAATGTTAGGCCATATATTACACTTGTCCACGGGTTCATGGCCAGTGTCTCTAACAGTGCCTGCACAAAGTAGATGCTCAACAAATACATGAATAAGTGAACGAGTGAATCTAAGCGATAGATCCTCCATCTTTATAATCTGTCACTTAACTGTGTAGACACGTCCACAACTCTGGAGGTAACTTAGAAGACTGGATGGGAGTAAGGGTGACCTCAACTTCCCCATGTCCCACAAGTGAGTCCTATTCTAGTCTTGCCACCTAACAAGTCTTGCTTCTTTAGTATCCCCTGCGGATTAGAAGTGTAATATTCACAAACACCAAGGCAATATTGTATTTAACCTACAAAAGTACCGATGATACAGATAAACGATGGGTCATCTACCCAAGCATCTGTTCAGCTTTTGCATTTACTTTTCACCTGAATCGTTTTACTCAAAGATGTCCCCTTGACAACATGGAGACATGGTGAGACCCTTTGTTTTTAATATTCACCCATTTGCCCAAGAAGGAAAAATATACACACAAACGCAGTGTTCAACAGCTGATGAACAATGATCTGTCTTAATCAGAGCTTCTAATGTCTATTTCAATGGTTCTTTTCATACTTATTTTTAATATGAAAGAGGACCATGCTCATTAAAGAAGATGTGAAAAATATAGAGCATAAGAAATAATGGTGTAATTGCTCAGAGCCCCATCATCCAGGCATAGCCATTGAAGGATACGTAGTTTCTTCTGATATTTTTTTCTAGACATAATTACTTTTACCATAGACAGATTTACACTACATATACAATACTGTGTCTTATTTTTAGTTAATATCTTAGTACCACTCTTTTGGCATTAGACTGTTTGAAAACAATTTTCAATGCAATTTTAAATTTGCATCGATTAGATAAACTTTCAGTTTCTCAGAGATTCATCTATGATTGGACAGGCAGGTTGCTTTCGCTTCAGGTAGTTTGCAATATAACAGCGCTAAGCACACTTTTGTTCTTTACGTTTTTATAATACTTAGGATGATTTCCTTAAGAAGATTTTTCAGAATCTCTGGTTCAAGTTCTCTTTAACATTTTGGGTATATCATACCAAATTGTTTCCCAAAAGAGAAATGCCAAATTATCTTCACAAACACAAAAAACAAAAGCTGGTTTGCTTTTATGCAGAGTGACAATGACTTTGGCTTTCTTCTGTTCCTAAAGATTTTTTGGCACAATTCAAGAAGGTGTTTCAGTGCCCACCTCACATTTCATCTCTTTCCTAAGATATTTCCACCCCCGAATTTCCTTCTTTCACCAAGTCAAGCATTTTGCTGCTACAGTTTACAGAAGTTCACAAGGTATGCATGCATTATAGCCAATAGTTCAGTCTACACCCTAGATATGAGGTTTAATCCAACGGAAAGCCCATCTCTTGCAGCCTGTAGATGTATCAGAGCAAACAACAGTGCCTCCTGCCACTCAAGGGGACAGGTACAAATCAAACACAGGAAACCTCTCTCCACGGGGGAAAAGGCTCTTGAGATTGAGAAACAGACATGGCTTGGGATAAAATTAAACATTGAAGGCAAAAATTTAAGTGATCTGACCAAACTTTTTTTTTGAAGTGAAGTCTTGCTCTGTTGCCCAGGCTGGAGTGCAATGGCAAGATCGCAGCTCACTGCAAACTCCACTTCCTGGGGTCAAGCAATTCTCCTGCCTCAGCCTCCGAGTAACTAGGATTACAGGCATGCACCACTACACCCAGCTAATTTTTGTATTTTTAGTAGAGACAGGGTTTCACCAGGATGGCCAGACTGGTCTCAAACTCCTGACCTCAAGTGACCTGCCCTCAGGCTCCCAAAGTGCTAGGAACCACCAAGCCCTGCCAAGACTATTTTCTTCTGGCATTTCCAATGCAACCTTGTTTTGCATGCAAAAAAAAGATGAGTTCTGAGGATTCCCTTATCTCTGCAAAAGAAGCCCTTCTTAGTAATGTGGCCTGAATGCAAAGAGCTTAGAGCATAGAAGCCCCGGCTTTGTATGAGGGTAAATCACTCAGCCATGCAGAGTGATGGGGGTTTTCTCACCCTGGGTCTTCTGCAGCTTCTGATCCAATCCTTCAAAACCAGTGCCTACACCTTGGAACCAAGGGCACAAAATGACCAAATGGTTTGTTTGTCCTTGTAACTGTTAAAGAAAAGGAACGAATGCAAGCCTGAGTCACAAGCCCCTGTTTGACTCCTCCTGGGCAGGGATCAGAGCTCAGAGTTGACTCTCCCCAGAGAAAGGCGTGTCTTTCTCGGGGGTCTCCTCATGCTACACCCTCTCTACGACTACTCCCTCCCCTCCTGCATGGCTCCCACGGGAGGTCAAATATGAGGACGAGCTTGTTTTAGTTTGTATCTGTCCTGAGACTTGACCCTTTAAAATGCACCTTGAACCTTTAAAAAATACCCGTAGTAGGGGCAACCTAGAGCTATGTGCTTAAAATCTTTCAGGACTTCCAATTCCGAAGGAAGTAACGGAAGGTCTGTACCTAGATTTGAAGAAATCAGGTTGTTCACTGTAGCTCTGTTCACTGAGAAAAATAACAGAAACAACCAGAAATGGAGGACTAACTGAATACGTTATGTGCTGTTACCCATCCAGTGGAATGCTATGTGATCCTGAAAATTATGTGCCAGAGAATGTTTAGCGACATAGAAAAAGCACTTTGGGAGGCTGAGGCGGGCAGATCACAAGGTCAGGAGTTTGAGACTGACCTGGCCAACCTGGTGAAACTCCATCTCTACTAAAAATACAAAAATTAGCCGGGTGTGGTGGTGCACCCCTGTAATCCCAGCTACTCAGGAGGCTGAGGCAGAAGAACTGCTTGAGCCTGGGAGGCAAAGGTTGCAGTGAGCTGAGACAGCACCACTGCATACTCCCTGGGCAACAGAGCGAGACTCTGTCTCATAAAAGAAAAAAGCAATTATATAATTGCTCTGGTCATAGAAAGAGACTGGATACTTCAATATGGCAGCTTGAGATCACATGTTTGCCTCCCCTGACTTCCCAAATCCCCTGGAAACCATAAACATAGGGCTTATGATGATGAAAGACCTAGAAAGAATGAGGTGGTCCTCCTGGGTCCCACCTGCATCTCACTGGGTGGTGACAAAGTTTGCCAGAACACTGAAACTGGAAAGGCATTTAGGAAGACACTGGTCCATCTTCTGGAGGGAGATCCAGGGATCCTAGGAGGATGTTTCTGTCCTTCAGGATAGCCCTGCCCATGTTGGCATTGGAGAGGGGTTGACCAGTCTGCTTCCCAGCTCCACTCCTACACATCCTAAAGCAAAGCCTCGCAGATGACAACCCCAACACACACACACACACACACACACACACACCCCACAAACATCCGCCCAATTCAGCAGTGAGGTCTGATGGGGAAACTGATCCACATGCAGCAGAGGAAACCCACACCCGCTGTCTGCACGTATCAATTTCATCTTTTCTTCATAGACGCATATGGAGAAGCAGAAATCACCAGCTATTCGAGAAACACCCAGAGCACAAAGCCAGGGAACCACAAGGGAAGAACGGGGTGAGCTGCTGCAGAAGAAACAAATCAATAATTCAGGGTCATTTCCTACTCTTGAGTCCACCTGCATTGTTTACTCAACAACAAATATCATTTACTGCTTTTGCAATTTTTAAAATCAACCTATAAACAAAGCTTCGGTGACAAGGACAGTTAGAGGGGAAACGAGAATGTTGTAAACCTTGACAATGTAAAATTAATAGCAGCAGAGAGATGGAGGGAAATTCCACGGCCCTCATTGTTTTTTCATCTTAGCTTAGTGGGGAGTCAAGACATGCTATGTAAAGCTAGTGAAAAACAGGAGGCTTAAAATCATTATTTAACATTATGCAGGTTACCAATAGAATAACTGATATTAACTCTATGCAAAGTCAGGGCATAAACAGAGAAGAGAATGGACCAGGTATTGCAAAAAAGCTAAATCCCTTACATGTCATAACAGACCCAAGAGCTGCAGCATTTTAAACTGATAACCAAGAAATAAGGTTATTAGCACACAATTTAAAGGCGGGACGGAGGACATCAGGGGAACTCACAACAAGGCTGGGAGCGGTGGCTCACGCCTATAATCCCAGCACTTTGGAAGGCTGAGGCAAGCGTGATCAAACTCCTGATCACTTGAGGTCAGGAGTTTGAGACCAGCCTGGCTAACATGGAGAAACACCATCTCTACTGAAAATACAAAAATTAGCTGGGCATGGTGGTGCATGCCTGTAATTCCAGCTACTCGGGAGGCTGAGGCAGGAGAATGGCTTGAACCTGGGAGGTGGACGCTGCACTGAGTTGAGATCACCACTGCACTCTAGTCTGAGTGACAGAGTAAGACCCTATCGCCAAAAAAAAAAAACAAAAAAAACAAAAAAAAAAACAACTGACATACAGCAGAGATGGCTCACGGCTCACTCTGATGTGTGGGTCTGGGGATGGAAGTCCAGGGAAGAATTTTGCTTCTAACGCCTCACCCTTCTGCCCTCTTGATTTGCAGAGCAAATGCATGTTTTACTCTTACAACAATAACAAAACTTTAAAATAAAACGCAGCTATGACGGGCAGAACATGCATCAGAGGTTCTCTAGATGTCTGCAGATTACAATCAGCTGAGAGTTTTGCGAAGTTCTGATGTCAGACACCCGCCTCTCCCGGCCCCTACCCCAACTCAAACTTCAGATTAGACTGGTCTGGGGTGGACCCAGGACAGGTTAACAAACTCCCCCAGGTGAGTCTAACACGGAGCCTGAACTGAGAAACGCTGACTCTGCACAGTGGAAGCACAGTGCTGGTATCTTCCTTCTCATGTCTTAGGTCTCCTACATTTTCCATCCATCCACGGACTAACCACGTATTCAGCGCTGACTCTGCTGGTAAGCACCATGCTAGATGCTGGGGATCCAGCCGTGAACAAGAACGGCCTGCCACTTACACTGGTGAGTTTCCTCTGGAGCGGGGAAGGGAGGAAAGGGGAGGGAAAGCAGTCATTCAGCAAATGACTCATTCAAGTATTCATTGTAATTGTGGCAAATGCCACACGCAAAAAAAGAAAGGGTGCAATAAATGCATGCATTATTTTCGTAATTGGGATAAAACATGCTATTTTTAAAATCCACCCTCTCTTTGCATCCTTCAGTTACTCTGCCTCCCTCCCATTCTCAAGAGACTGGAGGTCAACCTTTCTGCCCTCCTCAAAGACGCCATCAGGAGCTATAATCCTGTGTCCAGGCTTGTGGCAGTAGAATCCTGCCACTCAAATGATCTTGAGCTGCAACTGGCCAGAGTCACTGAGTGCACGAAATGCATGTGGCTGAAAATTCTCACTCCCAGCCGGGAGTGAAAAGAGCAGGTAGCAAGAAGGAGGAGCTCTCTAAACATGCCTGCTGTGAAGTTCTCACACAGACAAGCCTGCAGTCAAGGCCTCTTTTCAAGATGTCCACAGACGACTCCTGCACGGTAACGGCCATCCAAGAGAATCAAGGAGGCAAACAAAAATACAGGCCTCAGCCAGGCATGGTGGCTCACGCCTGTAATCCCAACACTTTGGGAGGCTGAGGCAGGTGGATAACCAGAGGTCAGGAGTTCAAGACCAGCCTGGCCAACATAGCAAAACCCTATCTCTACTAAAAATACAAAAATTAGCCAGGTGTGGTGGTATGGGCCCCTAGTCCCAGCTACCCCAGGGGCTGAGGTGGGAGGATCACTTGAGCCTAAGAGGTGGAGGCTGCAGTGAACCGAAATTGTGCCACTACCCTCCTGCCTGGGCAAAGAGTGAGCCCCCATCTCAAATAAAGAAAAAAGAAACAAAGAAAAACACGGGCCTCATTAATCTGTGGGAATGACAGAAGAATGCCAACTGGCAGCTGAGGAGGCGCCTCTCATACACTCGGAGGCTGGGCACCCACGGTCAGCCCTCTTGGACCTGCCATGTCTTCTCTGATATCAGAAAAATGCAAAGTGACTTTTTTTTCCCATTTATTTTTGCTAGAGAGGAAAAAGAGTGAAAAACCTAAAAAAAAAAAATCTTCCTAGTTGTAAGGTAAGACTATAAATTGGGAAATTATAGAAAATCAGAGCCTTTAACTTAATCCAACACCAATAAAAAGCAATAGACAAGGGATAATGACGGACAATAAACAGGGGTGCGTCTTCTAGTTAAATTACAGGGGCCAGAGAAGGCGCGGCGCAGCCGAGAGCTTCACGCCGGGGCTATTACGGCGACTAATCTGGTTAGTGGCAACAACGGGCTTCTGGCGGCGAGGCCTGCCTTTTCCCATTTCATCTCATTTTTATTGTAACCATGTTTTTATTTTTACAGGCTGATTTGATTCTGTCCCATGCTTTCAGAATTGCGTTTTTCAGATTTATAACACGAAAGCTGTCTAATGGCTGTGACGTCCAGACCTCGCTGCGAAAATCCCTGTGGATTTTCCCGACAGAGGAGACCACCCATGGCTCTGGAAGGGGCTCCCTTGGCCTGAACCCCAAAGTCTCAGGGCTGCTGTCCCCTAAAGGGGCATCTTTCTTGCCTCCAGGAGAGGACCAACTGCGGCCACCATTTACCTTCTACCCATCCCTAGGCTGACTGACTTGATTTGTAGACACTCCCCTCGACACCCCCAAAGAGTGTCTGTTGTCCATCAGAGGATTTTAGTCCTGCTGGAACTGTTGTCCTCAGCAGGGAAGGTGCTGCTCCCTGGAGGAAGTTCTGGAAAATTGTAGGGACGATTTTAGATGTTACAGGAGACAAAAAGCATTGGGTGTTGGGAGGGACAGAGGCCAGGCTTCCTGCGGCGTAAGGGACAGACCCAAGCAAAAGGCCAGCTTCCCACATTCTGCATGACTCTGGGTAGTCCTGCGAGACACTCACAGTGGCAAATAGTAATACAAATTTAGCCAGCTTAGAGTTATTGTAACCCAGACCCTAACTCCATTTTACAAAGTATGTCTGCACGGTTGAAATACTCACCGGATTTTTCAGGTGCACAAAAAAAAAAGATTGCAGTTTGTGCCATTCAGAACTTCACCAACGGCTATTCAGCGTTTTCAGAAAATCAGGTCATGGCTGCCGACACAAGCCAAGTCACCAGGAGAACATCAACCTCAGGAGCCGTCACACCCAGGGTGACTGTGGACTTACACGTTCCCATAAACTCACAGCATTCTATGGTGGCTCTGGTCCTGAAATGTCACTTCAGAGAAGGAGTGTCACTAATTCTCAGTCAGCTTCTGCCATCCTTTTAAATCCCAATATCCATTAGCAGTAGATGGGGGACCAGTCACTTTATTATGCACTGCGGTGTCACCGAAGTATGTACGATTCTATTATAAATTGTCTCCTTTTATTTATCCTTTATACCAGGGCAAGACACTGATTTCTTCTGATGCTATGTGTAAAGGTTGGCTGTCAAATCTGTATGTTTCTCAGGGCAGTAGAGGTTATTGCAAAATACTTACATTAATACAATGAGGCATCAGGTCTGATCATTTTGGCACAGTAGGAAGTTTATACATAACACTGTTTACACCAAAAAATACCATGAACCAGCCCTGAGCTGACCCTGAAGTATGACCACTGAGTGTCTGGAGTCAACTTCACTTCGCAGGTGGGCTAGTGTTTAAACCCTGGACAGGGTCATGAACAACCTGGCTCACCACAGTATGCTCTTTCTATTCCTGGCTGCACTTCCCCGGGCCCAAGGCCTCCCAGGCTCTGCCTCCTCCAGCTCCAGCCCCAGCTCTCCCATCTCACCTCGCCTCCCTGTCACACCTTCTTTCAGCACCTCTCCCTCTCACTGTTTCTCAAATACCCACCTTTCTACCACAGGGCCTTTGCACGTGCAGTTTTCTCCTACTGGCCTGTTCCCAGCTAACTCCCATTTATCTTTCAGGTGTTACTTCCTCTGAGAGACCTCCCCTGCCTCCCAGGTCAGGCCCCAACAACTGCTGCCGTTTCCTGCCATGGCCTCACTTGTAATGAACTCTGTCATTATCTACTTCAATCTTCCTGGATAACCCCACCATGAAAAGAGGAACTTTTCTGTTCATTTGTCAGTTTGCTGAGAATAATGGTTTCCAGCTTCATCCATGTCCCTGGAAAGGGCATGAACTCATCCTTTTTTATGGCTGCATAGTATTCCATGGTGTATATGTGCCACATTTTCTTTATCAACCCTATCATTGATGGGCATTTCAGTTGGTTCCTAGTCTTTGTGGGTGTTGAACAATGAGACCACATGAACACAGAGAGGATAACAACATACTCTGGGGGGCCTGCTGGGGGGTGGGGGAGTAGAGGAGGGATAGCAGGGGGCGGGGGGATTGAGGAAGAGTAACATTAGGAGAAATACCTAATGTAGATGATGGGGGGATGGATGCAGAAAACCACCATGGCACGTGTATACCTAGGTAACGAACCTGCACATTCTGCACATGTACCCCAGAACTAAAAGTATAATTTTAAAAACATGCATAAAAAAGAGGGACTTTTTCCTGCTCCCTTCCTCCCTGTATCCCCCCAACGGATGGTCACCAGAATCTGTCAGTGGAGTTCAAAAAACACTTATTGATGGATGAGTTAATGCACGCTTGAAGCCTCTAAACGTAAAACCAAACTCCTTCTGTAAAGTTCTTGAGATAAGAAGTCTCCTCTCTGCCTCCTTGAATGATCAGCAAAACGAGAAAGCGCACCAGAACCCTTCAGACTGGAGAACTCCTGGAAAAACCTTGGCAACGATGTCAGCTTCAGGAGGGCAGGGATTGGGCAGCGTTTCATTCACTGTCACAGCCGGAGCGCCTAGCACAGGCTGTGAGCCACAGAAGGAAGCCAATAGATGATTACTAAACCACTCCATCAGCCACAGCAGGCCAAACATCGGCACTGGCTTCTTATTGGCGACACGAGAATGAAGGCATAGTGATGCATTTGAGATGGTTTTGAATGCGGGAAAATGGCCTGTCAGAGGCAGGGGTGAACTACCCAGGCCTTTGTGCCACCCACACCTCGTTCGGGTCTGTTCCGTGCTGAACCACATGCTGTGAGCACTGTTCCAACAGTAAGCCAGCTTGGAAGGCTGGAGCTCTTATCAGGATGGTGCCTGTCTTGGCTATGCTCTGGGTCCCTCTCCCAGGACCCCACAGGCCCCTCAGAGACTGCCAGATGTCGAAGACCAAGAAGGCTTGTCATTTCAGAACGAAGCCTTCAACAAATGTCCAGTCAAACAGAAACTCACGCTCCCCTGAGTCCCGCTCAAGGCCTGAGCCTGCAAGGGCTGGGAGAGTTTACTGGGCAAAGCGAACCCAGTGCGAACGAGTCCCAACAAACCCAAACACGAAGGCCTGGACTCTCAGGGGACCAGGAGCCCCAGAGAGTTGCATACCTGCCCCACCTCCCACCCACGCCCAGGAGTCACTGGCTTAAGCAAAGAGATGACTGTGGGTAGATGATTATGTAAAGGCTCTGGCTGGAAGGGCCTTAACTGAATGAAAAGAAAACAGTGCAGGGCTGAGTCAGGCAGAGAGGCAGGAGGGAAACGGACTCAGCGCAGGGCTGGTATTCCTGGTCCCCTTCTCCACCCGGAGGGCCAGGAGAGCCTAGCAACTCTGCAGTGGGTGGGCCCTCCCTAGTACTTCCATTTAGAAGTCCATAGATTGGAGGGTAGTTAGGAACAGAGGAAAAACCCCTGCACGGCTCACATCAAGACGAGCCATACAGATCACCCTGCCGAAGAAATATTTGAACAAAACAGTGACTGTCCCACGGTAAAAAGGCTTCCACATGCTTCTCTGTCTGAGCACATGGTCTTCAACTCAACCACATTCTCCAAAAAACCATGTGTCATTACAAACTGCTACATAACAAGTTATACTCAATTTCTCCAACCCAGAAACCTCCTGGCCTCCTCTCCATATAATGCCTCATCTGCCAACAACATTTTTCCCCAGATGTCCATTGGCCACCTCCTTCTCACCTTTCAGGTTTCAGCTTCAATGTCACCTCCTCCAAGAAGCCTTCCCAGATCTCCCTGGCCAAGGTCAGTCCTTCCTGGTCCCTCTCTTTCAGCCACCCGTCTGTCCCCCTCATGCTGCTCAGGACAGTCTGAAAGCATCTTACGTATCTGCTTGATGACTTGTTTTTCTGTGCTCCCTTTTCTAGAATGCAGCAAATCTGAGGACAGGAACCTTATCTCTCAGCCACATTGCAATCCCCAGGGGTTGAGTGTAGCCCAGCACCCAGCACATAGTAAGTGCCCACTCAGTCACTGCTGGAAAAGGACGGCTTCTCTGTTGGGGACACCTGCTACTTAAACAAATCATTCATTTATTCAACTCTATATGGGTAACCGCTACGTGCTAGGACCCATGCTGTATGCTTGAACCTCGTCCTCAATCATTTTGTAGCAAGCAAGTGTTTGTACCTCTCTGGTTTCTCAAAGTGTGCCTGGAGGGCATTTCTGCCACGGGAAAGCTCAGTAAGGGCTCCAACTGCATGCGCTGTGTTAGTGTGCATGTGCACACACACACACACACACACACCGCCAAGCCACCCCCAGGGTGCTCTCTACTGCCTCAGGAGACAGGGCCCACAGGGCAAAGCCGCCCATACAGTGTAACAAGTAATACCGCAGCATCCAGACCCACAATGTCAGCGCGGAGGGCAGCAGCTTCTAGTCAAGGGTTTCCAGCAGCTGCCGACTCTACCTGTGATGGTTAATTCTGCGCGTCAAGTCGGCTGGGCCACGGTGTGCAGACAGGTGGTCACACAGTATTCTGGATGTTTCAGCGAGGGTGGTTTTGTATGATATTAACATAGAAATCGGTGGACTTTGAGTCAAGCAGGGTGACTCTCTAACGTGGGTGGGTCCCATCCAATCAGCCGAAGGCCTGAACAGAACCAAGACCGACCTCCCGGGACCAAGAGGAAATTCTTCCAGCTGATGGCCTTTGGACTTGAACCGTAACCTAGGCCGTCTCCAGGGTCTCCAGCCCGTCCAACTACCTTGCAGGTCTTTTTGTTTGTTTCTTAGTTTCTTTGTTTTTTGAGATGGAGTCTTGCTCTGTTGCCCAGGCTGGAGTGCAATGGCAAGATCTCAGCTCACTGCAATCTCTACCTCCTGTGTTCAAGTGATTCTCCTGCCTCAGCCTCCTGAGTAGCTGGAATTACAGGTGCCTATTACCACACCTGGCTAATTTCTGTATTTTTAGTAGAGACAGGATTTCACCATGTGGGCCAGGCTGGTCTCAAACTCCTTACCTCAGGTGATGCACCCACCTCAGCCTCCCAAAGTGCTGGCGTTACAGGCGTGAGCCACCATGCCCGGCCACCTTGCAGGCCTTAGACTCACCAGTCTCCTTAACTGCATGAGCCAATTCCTTAAAATAAATGTCTTTTGACGCACATAGATACACATCTGATGGATGGGATCCTCTTGGGAACCCTAATTCTCTGGTAAGCCGACTCAAGGGTTCCAAACTTGCTTCCACAACAGAGCCATCTGAGGACACATCAGGATGACAGGGAAGGGACAGACGACGGCAGGGGCCCCAGGCCTGCTGTGTAACATACCATGAAGTAAAAGCCAAGAAAACGGAGGAGGTACCATGAAGAGGGCCGGGTGCCAAGGGTCCTGCACTCAGCCAGGAGCCGATGTCAGTCTGGACCCTGCCTTTACCACTTGCGAAGGCATTATCTTGGGCAGGTGACTACAGGGCCCTGGGCTCCAATTTTCTCATCTGTAAGACAGGGATGGCTGCAGCCCCCGCATCACTGGGATGTTGAAACACCTGGCCTGGTCCCGGATGTCTGTGTTTACTGTTGCTATATTTCATGGCAGCCCGCACTTGGCCGGCGAGGAGCCTCTCTCTCCCCTGGGGTCAATCAGGAGAAGTTTCTCTGCCCTCCTCCCTGGAGCAAGAACAGAAAAAGCAGCCACAGGAAGTAGCTGTTCCCTCTCCAGAGAGAGTCAATTTTAGTAGCAAACAGGCTGGTAAAGCGATGGTTCTGGATTAAGTGCTGAGCAGGTAACAGGCACTTCCTCCAGCAAAGAATTCAATAACGAAAAGAGGGAAAGTTTTTCTGCACAGTCTGTGGCATCCCTGGAGAGAAGCGCACAGCTCTGTGCTGAGCCACGGGGGCACCTCTTACAGAGCCTCTGCTATCGACAGATACCCTGGCGGTGGCTGCGAACGCTGGGTAAGGTTTTAGTCTTTTAGGTTCAATGGAATTAGTGCTTTTATCTGATGCTTTTAAATTATTTATTCCTTTCAAAAAAAAAAAAGCATTTAGCAACGCTCCTGCTTACAGACGACCTGAATCAGATCAGGAATGGGGGCGCTGTACACAACCCATGAAGGTGTGGGTCCCTGCAAGCTCCTTCCAACACCCCACTATGAGTGGGACCCCCCCACACACAAGTCCAAATGTGCCCTGAACTGTACCAGGCAGGTTCAGAGTCATTAGTTCCTCCTCCATGAAGAACGGACTCACTTTAGGGAAAACAGCCGCTTTGGATTTCATCTGAATGTGAAATCAGTTTTGAAGGAGACTCAGAGGATTTCATTCCGGGTTTCTGTTTTGTGTTTTCCGTTTCTGTGCCTTCCACCAGCAGCCCTTCCACTCCAGACTTCCCGTCCTTCACACTCTCTCCTTCCAGGGTGAAAGGAAGCTAAAGCCGCTGCTGTGTTTGCTTTGGGGCCCGTGAAAGGCACGCACTGCTGTAGACACGGGATTTGAGGTTTGGGGTCCTACCTGGAGCAGAAGGCTTCCTTCTAAGGGCTGGAATGAGCTGGCCCAACTCTTGACGAGCCCAGCTTTCAGGGATGTGGGGGGTCCCAGGTGAGCTGGGACAGGCGGGAACCTGAGGACAGTGTGTGCCAGTAGGTGCTGGCTCCAGGAAGGACCTCTTGCCACTGTCTCCTGCCCCACACCACCCCTTCTTCCCTACACACCTTTCCCTGCTCAGCCAGACGTATTTCCCTTACTCAAAGAGAAAGGACACGCTCTCTCTTGGTTGTGGGGATCCACAGGGAAGGAGGGGACTCATGGCTGACGATGGCCTGATTTAGTAAGTAGCATCTCTGGGTCCTCCTTGCCTGGAGGTCATCAACTTACCAAGAGACTTGGGGGCCGTGGCAGGGAGGAGACCTCCATCATCCAGTAGGTTTGGGGACTTGGCACAGGAAACACAGGCACTGGGGGCCTGGACTTCCTTTCCCCTCCACATGCAGCCGCCAACTCCGACATGGAGACTGCCACCCAGCTGG